AATTCACCAAGCACCGAGCACGATGTTACTAGCAAAACAACATAAAACTGCCCACAACAGAGCACTACTTTCATAGTAGACAGCAGCTGGAATCTTGGTTGTTAAGGTTCCTCTGCTACCACGATTTCTTAAGCACACAACTCATCATTCCAAGTCCAATTCAACCAACAGAACAGGGGGAAAATTGATAAACAGAGCATCAATGAAATGACTCAATTCAACCCACCTCAAACCAATCAGTTGAAATACACAACTCAAACTCAATCAAAACGCACCTGACTTGAGTCTTCCATGCTCACGAGAGCCACCACAAGGATAAAGTTTCAATTCAGGAAATACAAAACTGATAAATCTACAATTTGATAAGTTACAAACCCTAAATTCATCCCTATCCAAAATCCTAACCCCAAATCCGCAATTGAAGAATGTAATCGAGACCAAACCATCCGGATCTTCAGAACAAGGAAGAGGAGTGAAAGCTGAACCTTAAGAGCTAGCGAGAAGAAGGGTCCGGGAATGCAAGATGACAAGGTGCCGGAGAAGGGGTGCTGACGGCAAACCATGTGCCTAAGGAAAAGAGCGTCTCACTAAGCTTTGTATGAGTTAAAAAGGCAGGGGATGGTTCGGTTATGCGAGGAGGAAGTGGTGGGAACTTGGAATGAGATGTGTGTGGGTTAATGGCTGATTGAGCAGCATATAGGAGAAGGTAGAAAAGGAGGAATAAGTGATTGGCCTAGTGCCGAGTGAGTGTCCACAGAGTGGTTGAGGGAGGGAAAGGCAGGGCCGGCAACGGGGAAGGGGGAGGAGCGACCATTGCAAGGGGAGGGTTATCGGGGAAGAGAGGAAGGCGAAGCTTTTTGAAGGATTTTGGGGCTTTTTTTAATGGGAGTCGAGAGTCTGGTTTTAGCTTTCTCGTACTTCGGGTTTTCTTGGTAAAGCAAATAGAGGGAGAGCCAAAAAATTTAATTGTGGAGCCATTTTCCCGGAGCCAAAATTTGTGGATAGCGGGAGAGCCAAAAATTTTGGATTGTAGAGCGGGAAAAAATTGCGGGACAGCCAAATGGTAAACCTTGAGTCAGCTGTGAGAATTTTTGAAGTCCTAATCTTTTAGTTGTCTCATGAGAACAAATTTTATTGATTTTAAAACTTTGTGTTTAAATAATTAGTGAGTCGAAGATTAAGTTATGTGACATAAAATAAAATTTATTAATTTTCGCCTGAAATTTGCAAACTGTTTGGGGTAATTAACTAGTCACGGGAAATGAAGACTAAAAAACATCAAATTAGTTCCCGTGATTAGAACTATACAATCAAATACGGGAATTTTTCCAGTGATTGTTATTATACTTCTTAGTACGGGAAAATTTACCGTGAATAAGATCCGGTGACTAGAAACTAGTTTTCTTGTAGTGTTAGTTGATTGTGATTTTGAGGAAGGTGTATAAAAAGTCATAGAAGTAGTTTGCAGCAAGTGAAGGCAGTGAAGGGGCAGTTGGTCAGGGTAGTGATTGAACCAAGGAGGGTATTGAAAGACATAGAAGCAAAATCGAAGCAGTTGAAGAGAGAGAAGTTGTAGATGATCAGGATATTAATGAAAATGGAGAGGGTATTGAAGGGCATGGAAGTGAATTGGATCAGGTGAAGGCAGAGAAGGAGGAGAAGAGCATTATGATGGAATTGAAGATGAGTGTTGGTTTTACGAGCTTATTAAAACTGCCCCAAGGAAGATGAGTTGGCCAAATACAAGAAAGAGGATTGAGGAGTTGGAGATCAAGTTGATAAGAAACTCAATTGAAAGAGAAATTCAGGTTCATGGAGAGAACGTCCATCAAAGTAGCATAAATGGAGTTGCAGAAGGAGGATTAGAAATTGAATTTTGGTTTAAAACATATACGTCAAGAGATTGAAGATGGAGGGGATAAAAAGTCGGTTGTACAACGGAGAGTGGAAACTATTGGATCTTTAGGTGTTATGGTTGTTGCAACTTCCACAACCTATGTTTATGTTAAAACGAGGAATCATTTATTGATTTACTAAAGTTTCGATTCACTATTCAAACTACTGGAACCTGTAGATAAGGAGTGTCTAATTTTGTGCCTCATTACTTTGATCGACTCTATTAGTATATTGGATGTTACTCTAATTTTGTAATTTGGTTTCAAGTTTTGATGGTCTCCTTTTAGTTGAGTTGTTAGCATATGATTTACTTGAATCAACAACTTTTCATTTCTGTTTTTTATAAATCCATTTATTTTTTATTAGTGGCATGTTATTTATAGAGGAGAGCTTTGAACTATTTATGTGGGATTGTGAGGTTTCATTTCAGTTTCAAACTATTTATGGATAGTGTGGGAATTCCAATGAGCTTCTATATTATATATTTCTGAACAATATATTAACCAATATCATTTTAATGGAGGCTCAATTATCATTATGAAAATGGGATTAATGATATATTTTTATATTCTTAAATGAGGAGGGTATTTTTCTGAATGTTCGACCTATATATTCATTTTTTATATAGAATCTCGATTGAATAATTTTCAATAAAGTTAAACAAATTAATATACTTAAACATAACATAAAAATATAAATATTAAAATATGAATATTCCGGTCAACGGGCTGGATTATAAGCTAGTGAAGAAGTAAGGAAGTTATGGACTGGAGATAAAGCTTGAGGCGTGGGAGGACGGCCTTCAATTTTCTCTTAAGTAACCAATAGAAAATTGAAATCCCTAATAACAAAGAAGGGGTGCATGGCGCACACAAGACAAAAGAAAAGAGTAATAGAAATTTCATTAAGCTGAAGTTGACTACGAACCCCTTCATTACAATCCAAGTGAACAAAAACCAAGACTAACTTTTCAAAATAGGCTGAACACATTCAACGAACATGTAGAATATTTTATTTTGTTTTACATGTAAAATATTTTTAGTATCACCTCATATTTATCATCAACATATTACGGAGATTGTAAAAAAATTAGGGTAATGTCTATTTGGCTAATAAGTTTTTTATTACTCGGGAATCTCAGCCCCACGTGCCACTTTGTAACAGCGGGTCCTACTAAACTTGAGGTCACCTGCATTCCATTTGACGTCAATGGGGCTCACTCCCAACAGCTTTATACCTTCGGAAACACCAACAAGCCTCACTTGGATTCGAACCTGGAATCTGCAATTCTCAAACCTTCATTGTCGCGGCAGCTTATCGTTAGGTTATCTAAAAGGTATTTTGGAAAGTAATTGAAAAGAAGGAAGACACTAGCGAAGAGTTCGACAAGGAATAGGAGTATTACGAATATTATGATAAATTGATAATAGAATAGACAGAAGCGTTTCGATTCTTTAGGAGGAGTTAGAAGCTTAGTTTGGCCCTGTTGTAGCTTTTGCAGAAACAGCTTCTGGTTGGAACTTTTAGATAAGTACTTTTCCAAAAAAAAAAAAAAACAGTTTAGTGTTTGGCTGTAAAACTATTAGAAGTGTTTTTTAATATGAGAGGTTGTGTAAAATGACTATAAAGGACTTATAATATAAAATATTAATAAAAATCTAAACAATAAAAAGTAGTCAAAATGGATCTTGTTAGATTTCTTTTATATTAAATAATATGATTTTATCATTTATTTTATTTTTAAAATGATATAAATGAAGAAAAATTATATTTTCTGTAATAAAATTAAAATATGGTAATGAGAATCTTGTAGTTTCAAAACAACTTTTCGCAGAAGCTCCAAATATGAACTTCTGCATTTATGTTATACAAAAGCTCTTTTCAGCTTTTCAATAGCCAAGCTTTTAGAGGTGTTTGGCCCTGTTTCAGCTTTTAAAGTCGAAAATCACTTCTAAAAATCGGGCCATACATAGGGAGAGATGGCTCAAATCTGGACCCTTCATTTAGAAAATCCAGATTTAAGGATGGAGAATTAAAGACCATTTTTATTTTCTCTAACTTTATTAATCGGCTCATATCTTTTTCGTTTTAACTCGGATTTTAATTTTTTTTGCACAGGTGGAACGAGTTCATCCTGCTCTACAAAATGAGATCAATTTTCAATATCTTTTTAGAACAAAATATTCTGGCCTCTCGGTACCAACTGCATACCATATGGTATTTTCTTCATTTTTAATTCGTTTTTGAATACGTTTGCACAGAAAGGACGAGTTCATCATGATCTATTGGATCGACAGATTTCTAGGTGAACAAATTACAGGACCAAAAAATACCACACAATACCATACAATACCACCCTGGTACGGGGTGGTATCTTATGGTACACAATGTTAAAAGTCGTAAATGACAGTTAATATATTTCTACTATCATGTATTCAACCATCCTACAATCTTGGTTTGTTCATACAACCATGGTACGCTTTCAAACCATATGTATGCTCTTATTTCAATACCAGTCAGTACCATATGGTATAGACTGGTAAAAAATGACTCAATTTTTTTGTTCGAAAATTATATCAAAATGAATATCATTTTGAAGAACACAATTAATCTGATATAACCATGTAAAATTTTTTTAAATTTTGACTTAAAACGAGTGAGAAATCGTCCGTCAAATATTAAGGAGGGGAAAATTAAAGACTTTTCAGGAGAGAGAGGGATGCTGATGTCATGCTGATGTGGACAGGTTACTCACCATAAAGTTACTCACCATAAGCTTACTGACCTAATCCGTTCCCGGGAGAGACGGGAGCAAATCCGGTGAGTAACCCCATGCATAATCCAATAAGAATCTGCCACATCAGCCCCTCCTTCTCTCTCCTGAAAAAATCATTAATTTTCTTTCCCTTAATTTTTAACGAACGATTTCTCACTCGTTTTAACTCGGAATTTAATTTTTTTGCACAGTTAGATCAGATTAATTGTGCTCTTCAAAATGATATCCACTATGATATTTTTTTTGGAACAAAATTTTTTTTTTCAGTTATTACCAGTCTATACCATATGATATTGACTATACCATATGGTATTGACTGGTATTAAATAACAGCATACCATATGATATGAAAAATACCAGTCAATTCCATATGTTGTTATTTATGCGGAACGCTAGATCCGCCTCCCAGTGCAAATCCGCCTCCTGGCGATTCTGATTCGCCTCCCGAACGCTAGATCCGCCTTCCAGTGCAAATCCGTCTGCAAGCGCTGGTGCTCACTCATCTCCAGTCCCCACTTCGGCCGCAGTTTCGTTTCTCACCGTCAACAAAGCAGGATCGACGGCGGCGGCGGCGGCGGCGAACTACTTCCTTTAACCTCACGCGACACTGAATCCATCTTGAGCTTTCTCCCCGTGCCTGATGAGGTCCAATCCGATTTCGTACTTTTGGGTTGCTTCAAGGATTTGGTTTTATGCGGCTTCGTGGACTCTGCTGCTGGGAATGATTTTGATGGCGAGATGGGGAGATTGTTCTTCGTCTGCAATCCGTTTACAAAGCAATGGGTAGCCGGCGCCCAAAAGGTCAGTCGGGTATCAGAACAAATGTTTAGTCTCTGAGAAATTGGATTCTGGAGATGAGGATGATTGTCGATTCCGAGTCGTCCTTGTTTCTGGATCACCTGACCGTGCAATAGTAGACTTGTTTTGTTCGGAGTCAGGGGAATGGATGGAAGACGCAATGGCTCCTCCTGATTCTGGTTCTTCCACACAGATGATGCTTGGGGATGTGATTCCCTTGTGGAATGGGACCTTGTGTTGGCTGTCCGATGACATGCTTGCTTTTTGTGTGTGGAATCCATTCTGCCCACACACACTTCCGACTTCCACAATCATTGAATCGCCGAACGGCCGGAGTTATTCCTGGTTCTCCAGTGCCTTACCGAAGCGCACGATTTGGGTCTCACTTGGTGTTTTACACCTAGTTTTTCACCTTCAGGAAAAGCATTGTTTGTCTATTTGGAGATGGGAGGAAGACAATAGAAGATGGTGTTTTCTTTACACTGGCTTTGTGGCGGATTACATCATTAAGCGTGAGTATGTACAATTTAAGGGTTTGAAGGCGCATGATGTGGTTGGCATTCATCCGAGTAAGCCCGAAACCATCTTCTTGGAGTGTCGTCGTCCTTCTGATGTCGCGCCTATTGTGGTCGAGTGCAACATGAGGACGGGAGAGATGGAGGTCTTCACCGATAGAGGGAATTGGGGTGCGTTGTTCCAGCCGAGGTTCACTTGCTGGCCTTCCCCAATTCCGGGCTACGAGAAACTGCGAACTATGTATGATGGCTACTATAGTTGTTTGGTTCAGAGCATCAGCCAATCTTGAACTCCCTAAAACCGTAACCGGTAAATCACATGAATTCCTTTCATTTGATTACTCTAATTCCTTTTGTTTGTTGTTTTGTACATACAATTCACCACTTAGTGCTTCATATATACTATTTAACAGGTCAATGCGCTCGATCCACATGACATTGTTCTTCCATCTCTGGACATCCCATTCCATGCATGTTCCCTCATCTGGGTACTATACGCGTTAGAAGCTTAAATAAATTTTTTTGGTTCTGTGCAGAGCTAAAGCAAGAGTCTTTCCGTGCTCTCCAAGAAGTTTGGAGGTATTGAGATGAGGTGGGAGCATACATTTAGTGTTCAAAATCTTAACCATTGTTAGTGATAACAGTTGCTTGGAGTACAAGTCATGATAACAGAGCTCAGGATTCCTTTTTCCTTTGTCCCAAATTAAAGAGTTCAGAGTTCTAATGCTGCAATTTGTATCTTTTACAAAAAAGAGTTTGGTTATTGCGATGTTTTACCGAGTATAGGTTCTATTGTTTGAACTTTAGTTGTTATAAATTGTTGGTTTGAGAGTAGGCAGCAATTGTTACATATTATAATGTATATATTTTAGTAGGGTAATCTTACAGAGTTACAGTTCAATTCTCATAGAATACATGTGTGTCTTACGTTTGAAAGAAGACAAGCACATAAGAGGAAATGGCTGGCAGCTATTTCCTCTTAAGTCCCAAGTCCTAACTCATAACACGTTCATCCCCTCAAATCTCCTAACATGTCCCAAGCCTTGATTTATTGAGCCACATGTTTCAATTAAACTCCATCAATTGTTCTGCATCATTGTAATTCCTTTCTCATTTTGCTATAATTATTGATAAAATAATTAGCTTAACCGGCCAAGCTCCTACCAAAAAAAAGCTTAACCGGCCAAGCAAAAAAACTAGAATTAATTGATCAGGCATGATTATTTAGCCTCTATTATGTCATGTATTACATGCTTTAGGTTAAGGGGTCGTTTGGATCAGGCAATTGATTTTGAGGGATTTTTCAAGAATTTGAGCTCAAGTCTCTGATTTAAAAACCTAGATAATTTTAATGAGGAATTTGGGCCAGCTAACTTGTTTGGTAATACATGAGGAATTTGGGCGCAAAATGTGTAAAGACCATTTTACCCACTTATCTTCTTCCTCCTCTCCCGATATCTGCTTTCTGAACGAAACATTGACTGGAAGGCCGACGACCTTGATAATTTGGCGACAGCCGGTGACTTCGTTAATTGCTAGTGAACTCGCGGAGGACCGGCGACTATGCTAAGGCTGGTGAACTCACTCAATCCGGCAGAGGAACACCTTGAACCCATTCGACGGAGAGCGGCGCCGGTGAGCATCAGAACCAGAGACGTAGAGCGGCGCCGGTGAGAATCAGATCTGGGAGACGTTCGCTCACTCTCCTCTTTCTCGACTCTCATCGTCGCAAAGAACCAGAGATGTGACTGCACCGGTAGCTCCAGATCTGCCTCCCTTCCCCTCTCTTCGTCGTCGATGAGACCCAGAAATCGATGTTGGCTTCGGCAAGAGCTTGGAGTCTGCGGCAGTTTTTGCGAGATGCCCATGACGAAATACCCGAATCAGCCCACCTAGAAAATCCCTCTATCGATTGAGGAGATCCCCCAAATCAGGCCGTCATTGTTGTTGTAGATCGGAGCTAGTCAAACTCTGTTGAAATAGCCGACGAGATGAGCGTCGTAGCCTTTGCTTGATCTCGTGCAGGGACAGAAAGGAAGAAGGGAAGGATCGAAAGGAGGAACTGGGATAAGAGGGGCAGAGATTGGGAAAAAATTAAATAAGATGAGGGATTTAGAAATACTTGGGGGTAATTAGCTATTTCAAATTTATTAACAGCAGGGTTTTCAAAATTCCTATTGCTAAAATACCTAATTCTTTTATTCCTATCCAAACGAAGGATTATGATAAAATCCCTAATGACTAGAAATTGTAGTAGAATCCCTGCACAGATTCCCTAATCCAAACGACCCCTAAGTTATTTGGTACACACATTTTACTCGAAAGAGTAAAGCAAAATTTGCTGAATGTTAGGAGCAAAAGCAAAATTTGGTACACACATTTTACTCAAATTAAATGCAGGTGACCCCAGTGTTAGTAGGATCCGCTGTCACAAAGTGCACGTGGGACCGAGGTTCCTGGGTATAAAAAAACACTAATATAAAGAGGTTCTTCGTGAGAAGGTGTTTAATTCTAAATTTCTAACCTTCTGAGTATATTTAGGAATGACATCCAAAAGAGTTTGTTAATTATACTAATGAAAAAAGATTCGTTGGATATATTCCTCAAATCCAAGTGAGGCTCGTTGGTGTTTCGGAGGTACAAGACTACTGGGGCGAAGCCCCGTTGGCGTCAAATTAAATGCAGGTGGCCCCCAGTTTTAGTAGGACTCGCTGTCACAAAGTGCATGTGGGCTGAGGTTCCTGGATTTAAAAAAATACTAATGTAAAGAGGTTCTTCGTAAGAAGGTGTTTAATTCTAAATTTCTAACCTTCTGAGTAAATTTAGGAATGACACTTTTGTTTTTTAATTAAAAAATCCAAAAGAGTTTGTTAATTATTCTAACTAGTATTAATGCCCGCGCTCCGCCGCGGGAAATGTATCTAATTGTGATTTTACTTGCACTAAAAATTTTGGAGACGTCAGTAGGAATGGCAATGGGGCAGGTCCGGGGCGGGTTTCTTGGTACCCAGACCCGCCCCGTGGCAGGGCGGGTCCAGGTCGGGTAATTGATCACGGGTCGCGGGTCGGGGCAGGTCGACCCAATGGGTATGCAATTTGTTTGAAAAACATTAGAAATATTCGTTATTTTTATTATAAAACTAAGAAAATAAACAATATTATGACAATTGTAGTTAAATTATTGGAGAAGTTGAGGTTTTCACTAATTTACAACTTTATTATAGCTAAAATATGATGCGATAGAAGTAAAATTCAAAGTAATTTGACTAAGATTTCATGTAATTTAGACAAGAACGGGTCGAGAATGGGGCGGGTCAGGGCAGGTCGGGTCGATGAGACTACCCATGCCCGCCCCGCCCCGCCTACGGGGCGGGTCGGACCCGCCCCAAAACAGGTCAAACAGGTCAGGTAAAACGGGTCAAGTCAAAATTGCCATCCCTAGACGTCAGTTTCACCTTAGAAGCACTAAAAAATGTACGGCAACAATTGTCTTTACTAAATGCCCAATTAACTGATCATACTCAATGAAGTCAAGTCCACAGCTATAACTACTATTTGAACTACAACAAAATACAGTAGATCTATACAATTTTATAATTGCATTAACGCATAAACAGGGCATGTAACATATTACAGCTTAATATTTGGATGGTACATAATGGAGAACATATTAATCGTTCAACACAAAGAAGCCATGTATATTTTATAAAGGAGTCACCACGTGGGACACAATCCGAAAGACTTAATACACATATAGAAAATTTGTACACCAATTTTATAGTTACAATCAGTTCACCCGAAGCGAACTTGTTGACAATGAAAAGCTATCCAACCTTGCTCAAGCAAATAGAAAGACCTGGAAAGTACTAATGGGCATTCAAACAATCACACACGTTAATCGTTATAGTAGAACATTCACTAAGAGCACAGCCCATCTTCTAACATCAGCTGCATATAAAAACAGAGTCAGAAAGATTATAAAAACTATCAAGATGGGCCTAAGCTAATAGTCATATCTCTTGTATCATGAAAGGATACCCAAAACTACTATAAATACCAGGGACTTGAAATCAACACCAATTTTATCTACCGTAACGAATTAATAGAAAACACATCCTATACATTGCAATTTGCAAATAACTATGCAATAAAGTCAATAGATGATATGCTGTAAGCTTGAGAGTTGAGATTTATCAATGGAAGGGAGGAAAGTTAAACAAATGAAAATTGGATAAAATCTCACCCATAACAAACGGGTTCCTTCCTAATGGTTGTCTGCACGCTCCAAGCAATTGATATGGACTCAATAACACATTTGAGAAAAAGTAAATATAATATTAGAATTGCATTAACCAAAGAGCGTGTCTTATCGAATGAACCTTGAACTTGTAAATAATTAAGGACCTTCAACTTTGAAACAACCAATTATCCATAAATTCTCGGTGAAATGCTAATAAATCCTCCATGTAAAAGGACAGCAAAATAGCCAGCAAAGCCCTGGATTTCCAACACCAATATATGAGAATCTTGATAGCAGTTCACCAAACATTAATACAGTACCTGTATTATAGCACGCCAACGCTATTTTGGAAAATCTGCATTCAGAATAAAAAAGTACAGACATAAGATTAGCACAATTTCAAAAGAAAACAGAGGAAGAATCTTGAAGCTGTGAAAGGCTAAAAAAGTTTCTATTCCATGGCATACATGGCACATTAGCAATTACTGGGTGACCAATTTATCAGGAATTTGATCAGTATATGAATTACCTGAGCACATGGGTCACTAAAAGACTTCATAGGCGAGAACAGGATGATAGGATATGAACTGTAGAACAGAACCCAGAGAAATTAGTTAAGAAAAGATGCAACATAACTCAACAGAAGAAAGAGATTAAGCAAAACTTTCAAATTTTCACCTCAAACTCCAGAGTCAACAAAACTGGTTTCCCTCTGTCGTGGATCTCATCCCACACTGCGGGTCCTATCCAACGTAGATCTATTACCTAACCACATATCTTCGGATTGCTGCTTTTCATTGGAAATCAATGGCCAACTTCCTGATCAAACAACCCCACTAAGTTAAGAGAAAGAAAGGGAGAACAAACCCATCTAAGAGGGGGAGGGGAGGGAAATGCATCAAAGAGACACAGAAACAGACCTTGCAAAACAGAGTCTTTCCAAATCCATTTCTCGACCTCTTAATTTGCAAGCTGGTCCCTTCAAGCCCACCCCGATTCTGAAAAGGCAAAAAGGCTTCAAAGCTGAATCGAACGAAGAAAACATTTGTGGATCTGGCTCTTCTTAGAATCTTGGCTGCAAAACCTTATTGATATACATAGAGGAATAAATCAGGATTCCTAACAATTACCAAGAGCTAAACAAAACTAAACGGCCAGAAACATAGTACAGCGAAAGAACCAAAAAAAATTTAAAACTCGGAGGTCCATTAAGGCGCTTTACTCACCAGTGAGATGGATGCGCAGGCAGATAGTGAGCCCCTCATCCTGTAAAACCCTTTTTCGTCTTCGAGGTGGCAAAACCACGTTTTGGATCTGTAAAACCCATCAAACAATCTCCAATTTCAAATCCTAGAACCCACCAAACAACCTGAACAAAACAACTGAATAGGGACAAATAGAAAAAATAATCACCTAAATCGATAGATAAGGACGATCCGGATCTTTCCCACATCCTATCTGGAGCACAGCCCCA